TTATTTAAATTTTTAAATTTTTTCGTCGCGCTGTGATGACGTCAAATGCGCGCTTTCGCCGAGCGCGATTTTGTACTCCGCGGTTTTGTGGTGGAACCACAGTGAGGACACTGGTATGTAATGAGAATGCAACACAGCCCTCATGAACCCTCATCATGTGCTGAATAGTATGTGACGGGCCCAACTCCATCTCCAGTTAGCACTAAAGTTTGCTGTAGCTATTTTATTTAGAAAAAAATGGCACATTTGTATTTTCTGGTTCTAAGTTCTTTTCTTTTAAACTGAATGCATGTTTTGGTAATTGATGAATGGGGAAGTCACCTTGACTTCATCTCCCAAAATTAATGCAAACACAACATTTCAGGTGAGTACGTCTCAATTTTGTGGGTCCAATTATTTTGGCTCGATTTAAACAAAAGCCCTCTTTTGTGTCAAGAAACACATTTAAGTTTACAAATGTTCTAGTTCATGTATTGCTTATACAGGTAGTCCTCAACTTACAACAGTTCATTTAGTGACAATTCGAAGTTACAGCAGCACTGAAAACAGTGATACGACCACTTTTCACACTTATGACCATTGTAGCACACACACCCCTCCCAAGATCATGTGATCAAAATGTAGATGTTTGGCAACTTGACTCATATCTATGATGGTTGCAGTGTCGTAGGGGATGTGATCCCCTTTTGCAACCTTCTGATAAGCAAAGTCAATGGGGAAGCCAGATTCATTTAACAAACATGTTACTTAACAACTGCAAGAATTTACTTAACAACTGGAGGTCATAAAGTGGAGTAAAATTCACTTTAAAATATTTCACTCAGCGACAGAAATTTGGGGTTCAATTGTGGTCGTAAATTGAGGATTACCTGCAGTAAGTTTTAAAGTGAACAAGTTTTAGAGATTTATCTTTTGACCCAGCTACGTTACATCCAAATCCCATCTATGGGATGTATACAAAGCTGCTTTCCCACTCACCTTGCAGTAAGCACTGACCTCTGTCCTTTAGATTTCTAGTTGCAATATGGGATTAAGCAGACACAGTATCTTTCATCCCATTTCTTGCAATGTTTTTTATTCACTGCCCAGCATGCTGCTGAAAGCTTTTCCACTGGTGAAAGGGGCGCACGCTAAGATGGCAGAAGAATTTGCACAAGTCCTTTTTCACTCACTTCTGCAAGAGTTTCCAAATTTATTACATTTGTTTGTTACCCTCCCGTCATGAAGAGACTCTCATGATAAATGGCCATAACTTCTATAAAAGGTGGCAACCGTTGACTAGAAGCATCAATTAACTAGAAGAGGATAGGGAATGAGCCAAGACAGACACCAGAGGTGGGTTCCTACCAGTTCGCACCTATTCGGTAGAACCGGTTNTGAACAGCCGAACTACAGAACTGGAGTCAGCTGAAGTAGCCTGCAGTGCTGCATTTAACCACTGCGCCACCTCGGCTCCCTAATTTCCCGCTTCCCTTGCCTTGCCCCTTACGCACCTCAAATCCATGGTCTTTTGCTTGAATAGCCCCTTCCTCTACCCTTCGGAACTCTTCCAAGCTAAGCTGCTTGGCGTAGAAATGCATCACCACTCTCTGTGGCTGCTCAGAAGCATGGGAGCTCAAGTAGTCCTTCTCAGCCAGGTGGAGGGAGGCAGCCCCAGGTCCCAACTCTTCACACAGTTCTCGATTTAGTCCCTCTTCCAAGGAAATATCCCGAGGATCCACAAACCCACCTGGAAATCCCAGCCGACCATCAAACCTCATCTGCATCTGGAACAGAAAAGAAGAGATTCAGACTGAGAGTGCTCTGCAATCACCCTTAATTTACAGGGGTAGGGATCCCTTTGGTTTGGCTCCAGTCTACCCTTCTCACTGTATTCTTTCTAGCAATAGTAGCAATAGCAGTTGTTTTTATACTGGCTCCCAACAACTCTCTTAATTAGCAATAGCAATAGCAGTTAGACTTATATACCGCTTCATAGGGCTTTCAACCCTGAGCCGGTGAGACTTGAACCGCTGAACTGCAGAACTAGCAGTCAGCTGAAGTGGCCTGCAGTACTGCACTCTACCCACTGCGCCACCTCGGCTCTATCATGGGTGGGATCCTACCAGTTTAACAACCAGTTTAGTGGAGCTGTAGAATGTGTTGTCAAAATAAAACATTCCTTTCTAGAAGCTCAAGGTCATCCTTTGTCTCTGCACTTCTGCACCTGAACTAGATGGGTGGAAATGCCAGCCTGGCAGAGGAAGATTGGACCATGTGATGGACTTGTGGGTGAGGGGACAAGATCTTGAACTTTCAACTGGATGGAAACCCCAGGAAGCTTTCAGATTCAGGTTTCCCACAGATGTGCCAACATGTCTCTCTTAATGAATTGGAAGTTTGAGGAAAGCTATTCCTTGGACTCTGATTTAATTTTGGATGATATTTGGAACACTAACAGCATCTTTGCGAACGGGTCTGAACCAGTAGCATTTCACCCCTGGTAAAAACATGAACATTGCATTCCCACTACAGTCACATTTTCAGGATTTAGGTGTGACCAAATTTAGCCAAATACCTACATCAAAAATATAGTCCTTGAGAAAATACCAACGCAGGAGGAAGTTATTNAAAACAGTCCAACCTATCAAAAACAGCACCACAAAGATCAGATTAAGAACACAAATTGAAATATGGAAGAAAATGGTAAGTGAGCACCTGTCTACCCTACACAAGTTCAAATCACCAGGACCGGACAGATTACACCCCAGGGTTCTGAGAACACATATACTTGGAAAGCCTAGATCAGACTGGTTTTCTGAAGAGGCATCACTTTGCTACAGGTAGTCCTCAAAATTTATGCTGCTAAGTGAAAGTTACCATATTTTTCAGAGTATGACACCCTTTTCCCTCAAAAAAGAGGCTGAAAATCTGGGTGTGTCCTATACATCGAATACAGCATACAAGGCCAATAAACTATAACTATAAACTATAACTATAAAATACTACAGCATTTTTTGCCTCCCTAAGCCCCGCCCCCTTCACCAAAATGGCTGTGCATAGCCTTATGAGGGCTTTCATAGAGCTCCTGGGGGCTGGGGAGGGCAGAAATGAGAACAAATTGGGACGCTTTTTGCCACCCCAGCAGCACTCTATAAGCCTCCATAAGGCTATGCATGTAATTTTTTTGACAAAAAACAGGCCTGTTTTTGAGAAAAACGGGCTGTTTTTCAGAGGTTTGCAGAGTGCAAAAACTGTTTTTTTCCTTTTGGAAAGCTCTTTAACTGATGAGAATTACATTGATCAAGAGCTGTGCCAGCAGAAACAAAGTCTTAAGGTTTGTCAGCAATTTCCTTCTCCAGCACATGGATAAATACAGCTGGAAACATCTACCTACCTACTTTCTCTCTCCCTACCTATCTACTGTATTTCTCTTTCTTTCTTTCTTTCTCTCTATCCCTCTACCTATCTACCTACCTACTCTCTCTCCGTACCTATCTACTGTATTTCTCTATTTCTCTCTCTTTATCCCTTTACCTACCTGACACACAGACTCTCCCTACCTACTTACTGTATTTCTCTCTCTCTCTCTCTCTCTCTCCCTNCTCATTTTACCCACCTCGGAAGGATGGAAGGCTGAGTCAACCCTGAGCCGGTGAGATTTGAACAGCCAAACTGCAGAACTGCAGCCAGCTGAAGTGGCCTGCAGTGCTGCATTTAACCACTGCGCCACCTCGGATCTTATGAAACAGGACTCCACCCACCCACCCATTTTAACAGCACAGAATCAAAAACTAAGATGAAACTCTGTGTATGATTCTGCTTGTTTAACTAAGGTACTGTAGACCACAAATGTTTATGCCACAATAATTTTGTTAGCCACATGTCTCTTTGTTCTTTTAGGTTCAAAGTCAAGACTGACTTTGCCTGGTATATTAAGACAAGAAAAGCAAGCTTGGTCTTGGTTAGTACATGTTTAAGAAATCCCAAGGCTTTCTAAGCTATACAGCAAAGTTGAAAAAAAAATCCACTGCAAAGTCGTTCTCGACTTACAGCTATTTGTTTAGTGATCGTTCAAAGTTACAACGGCACTGAAAAAAATGACTTATGACTGTTTTCACACTTACAACTGCTGCAGCATCCCCATGGTCATGTGATCAGAATTCAGACGCTTGACAACTGACTCATGACAGTTGCAGGATCTTGGCATGATGTGATCACCTTTTGTAACCTTCTGACGAGCAAAGTGAATGAGGAAGCCAGATTTACTTAACAACTGTGTCAGTGTTACTAACTTAATAACTGTAGCGATTCACTTAACAACTCTGGCAAAAAGGTCGTAAAATGGGGCAAAACCCATTTAGCAACTGTCTTGTTTAACAACATAAATTTTGGACTCAACTGTGGTCATAAGTCAAGGACCACCTGTACTATTATTAGCAAAAAACCTGCACATTTTTTTTTCCCTTTAGACAACAGGAATCAAAATCAATTCAAGAGAGTCTTTATCCGTTTTTATAAACCAACAAGGCATTTGCAGAATATATTAATGATTGCCTCAGTTGTTAAGTGAATCACTGCACGTGATAAGTTAGTAACCCGCTTGTTAAGTGAATCTGGCTTCCCCCTTGACTTCGCTTGTCAGAAGGTTGCAAAAGGGGAATCACATGACCGTGGGACTCAGCAACGGTCATAAACATGAACCACTTGCCAAGCATCTGAATTTTGATCACATGATTATGGGGATGCTGCAAAAGTCGTAACTGAAACATTTCATTTTCATTTCATTTTCCCTTTATTTGTATGCCGCCCTTTTCCCTGGGGGGACTCAGGGCGGCTCACAGTTCAAAAAGGGGGGGGGGGGGGAAGGACAAACAATTTCCAACATAAGGACAATACAACATATTAAAAAAAAGCACAACAGTCACACAATTCGGGTG